AAGAGAAGAAAAGAGAAGTTTAGAGGGAGAGGGAAGGAGTGTAGAAAGAAGGGAAGAAGAGAAGAGAAGTGCAGAAGGAAAGGGAGGGAGAATAGAGGGAAGAGGAGAGAAGTTTAGAAATAGAGGGAGTGAAAGGAGAAGGACGGTAAAGAGATGGAACGTAAGGGAAAAAAAGGATGCAATAAAGGTAGGGAAGCTGAGATGAGAAAAACATAGTATGAGAAGAGAGATGAGGAAAGAAAGGGAGAGGGAATTGAAGTAGGGAGGAATATAAAAAAGGAGAGGATGATCAAATAGAGATGAAATCAGGAGAAGGAATATAAGAGGAAATTAAAAAGAAGGAAGAATAGAAGGAAGGATGGGGCAGATAAGAAAGAGAGGAGATTAAAAGAAAGGGAGAATTAGAAGGGAAAGCAAGAGGGAAAAGTAATGAATGTAGAAGGTAGACGTCTAGACTAATGCATGGCAGATACTTGCAAGGCTGTGATCTCTATATTTTGATGTAGTTTGTGTGGTTTTATCACGTTTATATCTATGGAAACGAAAATTATATGTAAATCAAGGGTTTTGTTCAAGGCACATTCCTTAAAGACTATAAGCGATGGTATATGCTGAAGATGATATAAACTGTCATTAACATCACTACTGATTCTTTATAAACCATATACGTGTTTAAACGTGAATGTGTCCTTGTGAATGCAGACGTGTTTTCATCCGTGTCACAGTATGTATCACAATACGTATCACAACAAGTATCATATCCTATATCACTGTACGTATCACAACAAGAATCACAGCAAATATATCACGTAACAAAGCCTTTATGAAGAAAAAAAAAACGTACCCCCCATTTCTCACATCCCTCGCCCCCCCACAGGATATCTCGAACAAGGCTTGATGGTCAAGGATCCGAGCAAGCTACGCAAGAACTACATCAAGTCGTGGGGATTCAAGCTTGACCTGATATCCATCTTGCCCACTGACCTCGTCTATCTCCTCACCGGCACTAACTGTGATAATTACGTCCCTGGGCCTGTACTTGTGAGGGTTAATAGGCTTCTGCGGTAAGTGTTGTTAGATGAGATAACAGCTGTTTAGATTTGTAAAAAGAAAAAAAAAGTTCTTTGCGATATTTTTATGAGGTTTATGAGTAGTTATGGTTTATGGGTCTTTGTTGTTATTTTTCATTTTTGTTTGTGTTGTTTTCGTTCACTCATGTGGTAAAAGAGTGTTATTTACAGTGGGTTATAGTATTCATTATCATTATCATAATAATTACCCGTTATGATATTGTTGTAATTCGTACGTTTTCTAATTCAAATTATGTTCGGTTCTCCTCTCTTTCTGTCTCTGTCTCTTTTCCTCCTCCTCTTCCTCCCATCCATCCGACCCTTCCTTTATCCATCCGTTCCCCTTCCATAAATCCATATATCTATCTTTTTGTACCCTTCCTTCCCCTCCCCCTCCTCCTATCCATTACTCAAATCATCTGTCTCTCCATCCATCCCTGGCTCCATAAATCCCTACATCCATCTATTTATCCCACTTTTTCCTCTCCATCCTTCAACATCAATCCCTCTATCCATTTACCTATCCCCTCTCCTTTCTCTTTAACACCCACCCTCTTTTCACCACTCTTCTCCCCTCTCCCTCCTTCCACCCTCCCCCCACTCCTCCCTCAACCTCCTCCCTCAACCTCCTCCCTCAACCTCCTCGCCTCTCCCTCCCTTCCCCATCCTCCCACCATCCCTCCCCTTACCCCCCATACCCCCTTTTCTCTCCCCCCCTCTCCTCCCCCTCCCCTCCGCCTTCATCCCCCCCCCCCCAACAGGATATCGCGAATGGGCGAGTTTTTCGACAAGACGGAGACGCGGACGAACTTCCCCAACGCCTTCAGGATATGCAAGGTCGTCCTCTACATCCTCGTGATCATCCACTGGAACGCCTGCTTCTACTTCGCCATCTCCTACGCCATTGGCTTCGGCACGGACGGCTGGGTCTATAAGAATATTACCATAGGGAGGAACGGCACCTTTTCACATCAGTATATATATAGGTGAGGTGAAGCGCCGTAAGGGTGGGAGGTTGTAGTTACGTGTGTGTGTGTGTTGTGTGTGTGTGTGTGTGTTGTGTGTGTGTGTGTGTTGTGTGTGTGTGTGTGTGTGTGTGTGTGTGTGTGTGTGTGTTTGTGTGTGTGTGTGTGTTGTGTGTGTGTGTGTGTGTTGTGTGTGTGTGTGTGTGTGTGTGTGTGTGCGTGTGTGTGTGTGTGTGTGTGTGTGTGTGTGTGTGTGTGTGTGTGTGTGTGTGCGTATGTGTGTGTGTGTGTGTTGGTAGGCGGATGGGGAGATTTTTTTTCTTTTTCCTCATTATTTTGTTTGTTTATTTCAACTAGTTGTCGTTAGAGTATGCCGTATTTCATTTTTATTCATCTTTTCTTTTTCTATCTTTTCTCCATTTTTCTCCCTGTTTCCTTTTCTGCCTGTCTGTTGTTTCTTTCTCC